CAACCAAACCTTGTTTAGGGTTTGTGGACTTAGAGCATCATATGCTCCTTCCACTGCCTCTAATAACTCTACCACAGTACTTGGAGCACACTGATCTTTTAAAGACTGGATGGCTCTGAAAAATCCAAGATCCAAGACATTCAAGTCTGGGGAGTTAGGGGGTTGGTTGTGTAGAGTTATGTGAAACCCATTTGTGTTACCTGCTGCCATAAAGTCTGAATCCACTCCTTGAATGTGTGGCCTTGCATTATCTTGCTGAATGTGTATGTCTTTAGATAAATGTGAGGGCCATTTTTCTTGGATTGCTGGTATCACTTTATTGATGAGCATATCTTTTGTGACCTTTTTGGTAACACTAGTTATTGGTTTCACCTCTAACACCCCTTTGGGTCTGTTCTTGCTCTTCCTTTTGGCTTTGCATTTTTCTGTGAAATGAAATATGCCAACTTTGCCATCCCATAACACTTCTCCATTATCCCCAAATAGTGGTCTCCCAACCACACACAGAAACATCACTTTAGCTATGAACCTTTTTGATTTACATGCCCTGTATGGGTCTGCTTCATCAGGAAGGAGATAAAATTTCTGAGATGTTTTAGACATAAAGAACCACTTCTCATCAATGTGCAAAACATTTTGAAAACTCTTAAACCTAGGGTGGATTGGCATGCTGTAGGGTTCTACCTGATCTAAACAGAACCTGAGCCTTGAAATTTTATTGGCATCTGTGAGGTATGGTTTTATAGCATTAGAATGGCTCCTAAGTAGACCTCTTTTAATCCACTCATGAACAGTTGATTTAGGCTTACCAATGGCAGCTGCTAATGATCTTACATTAGTCCTCTTCCGAAGGGGAGTGTCTGCTATAGCCTTTATATCCATCACTGCCCTTTTTCTGCCACTGTTTCCTGCTAGTTTGCTTCTCACATCAATGGCAATGCCCTGCTCTATTTGTTTCTTTGCAATGGCCCATATGTTGCTCACTGTTTTTCTGGACACATTATATTCTGCAGCAAGCGTGTTGATCTGCCCGTACTGAGCTGAGTATGAACCGTCTGCATTTTTCTTTGAATGTGAAAGTAGTGCTTCACTAATAATCTGCCGTGTTGTGTTGTCTAGCTTTTTGGTGTTTATGTGAGTGGTATTCATCAGTCTATATGTGTGCAGGCCTCCAGGAATTAGGGATGAAAAAAGAAAAAGGAATAAGGCTCATTGTGAAAGCATACTCCAGAAAAGGTTGCAGAAGAAAAAGAAGAAGAAGACAGAAGAAAAAGAAGAAGAAGACAGAAGAAAAAGAAGAAGAAGACATGGGAGTGCAGGCCAAAAATAGAAATGAGTGGGGGGGTTTATGTAGTCAGTAATGCTTTAAAAAGCAGGAATTTAACCATTTTGGACAGGCCTCCAAAAAATGGAGGGAATTGCCAATTTGTGTAATGTAATCCTTGATTTGATGTAACAATCCATGCCAATTTTGTAATCATTTCAAACAGTGGCAGTAGTTGAATTATTTAGGCCTTGTTCGGCCATGAAGTAACCAAATCTCAGTTTTTTAAAGTTTTCTTTCATTAAGGGCAGTTTTGGCATTTCACATGTAAATAAGGCACCCACTAAAAAGAAGGAAAAGTCAAACCGGGAAGTTTATTCCCGGACGGAGGGAGTATTTATTATAAAATAATATCTTTGTAATTATATTTTATATATTACAAGATTTTG